ATGGGAAAATTCTACTACCAGTCCTTCATTACCTTACACGAAATAGGGTAAATACATCTCATTAATTTATGTAGTCCTATATTTACATGAATAAATGTTTATAATTTATTATATTTATTGATGAAGTTGCATTGAATATACTTTTTATTATTTAAGAAAGATTATTTATTTAATTTGGTATTCCTATATATATATATATATTTATTTATTTATTTTATATACAATTTTACAATTTGTTGCCAAAATCTGCCCGCTCCATTATTTAGGTGTAAGTCGTGCACTGGAGATGTAAGTAATTATTTATATATAGCCACATTATTTTCCCTTTTCAATTTTCCTTACTTTTCATTTTATCGCCCTTAAACTTTTTTTCCCATCTTCTCTCTTCTCACTTTAACTCTTACTTGGCCGTCGTCTCTACAATTTTGCTCTAACCCTATTTGTGTCCTTTCCACACTGACTTGAACTTGTTTTTTTGGCCTCTTCCCATTTGACCCTTTTTGGCATCTTTTCTCCTGCATTTATAAACCGTTTAGGCCCTGCGCATCATCGAGGAGGTTGGAAGTGAACTGACCTGCTTTTACAGCCGTTTGCCCATTCCTTATTGGGCTACTCAAATCAAGCCACTCTCTCTTCCCTGTCCCACCATGTCTCTCCCACTTTCCACGAAGGTCGAGTGCGACCAAACCGCTGATTGGCCACCGCGTCACGCTTCAGCAATCTGCAACGGATGCATTTCCACTGGGTCCTCAACACCGACTGCTGATCGATCATCGGATCACCATCAAGTGGTTCGAAGACGTGCTGTTGAGCCGCCGGTCTCTGACGACACCGACACCACAAAACAGCCCAACGGTCCGAGTTCGCCCGAGATGTCCAAGTTACCGGAAGAATTGAACGACGTCCATATGAATGGTTTCTGCCCCTCGATGACATCTCTGGCTTGGCGTAATAGGCTGGCGGGTTCAGACGAAAGCATTAAATGACCAACCGGGCAAAGGTTGGTGCTGCAGGCCAAGCAGAACGGTAGTCTAGCCTGTTGTCATCATTACAAGATTGCCCCAGATACAAACGGACCCAAGTTTAGGCCTACTTAGCTGAAAATGTTAACCCAAAATGAACACATTATTTGCGGCATTATCTTCTTTCAAATCAGGTGAGCAGCAAGCACCATCAAATATATGCTTACCTTTTCATCATAATCGTGTAGTTCGTTTATATGCTTTGTCAAAACCTAGACATCACCTTGTAGATTTCAAGATACTCAATAATTAACGCACTATGTAATAAAAGTCTAATCCATTCTAATTTGATTTTATTACAATCTGCCTTAACTTCGTATTACACTTCGCGTGAATATAACAAAATTCTAGGCAATGCACTTTAAAAAACTGAAAAGCTAGATTTTTACGCATTTTTAGGGCTAGATTTTTTCATTTAATACTTGTCAAATATTTTGAATAATAGAAAAAAAATAATATTAGAAGTATTAGGAAAAGATAATAAAAAAATATTGCAAATCATTTATTAATACTCTACTGCTAAAGCCCAATCAAATCAAATATTGATACACTCTGCCTTAACTTCAGCTTTCACTCTTAGATGAATTAACAAAACGGCTAGGAATGCCTCTCATTTGCAGCATTTTTTGAGAATATACTTTTTTCGTTTTCATACTTATATCATGCGACGACGGTTCACATTACCTGAATTCGATGAAGCTAGCCCTCAATGTGCTCATGGCAGACTTCTGTGCCGGCATTCTTAAACTCGCTTTAAACAAAAATTAATTCAAGGAAAGCCAACACGTTTATTGTCACGTGTAGATACATGTCAATAATCCCTCTAAACTAATCCTAGGTTTTATATGGCTATGGAAGTTGACCAGCTCTACATCAGTAGATTCTTGATTGGAGAATGTGAGAAAATTCCATGTAGCTATCCTTCGAATCTACCACTCCTCGTTGATGCTATTCCATACGGGCTATTATTCGCAATAATATTAATGCGAAAATTTGGCTCAGGGTCGATGGTGATTTTGTGTTGAAAAAGATCCAGACAATATACACATAAGGGCACTACTTAGTCATGGAATGGCGGTATGAAAGTCGCAAAGATTAGCCATGTTTTGGTTAATTTTAAAAAATCTCCAAACATGAAGTATAAGCCCTGTGAAAGACAGTCATAGGCACTCAGAAAATAGGACTGGAGCAAAGTGGAATATATGGGACAATTTAATTATACATTTCGGAACTTTCCTCGGATTTCCTGCAACCCATATTTTTGTAAGTAAATCTATGTCTTCTGTTGAACAACTTAAATTATTGAGTTTACTTCCATTTCGAGTGAATGTGTTTGATGAAGCTATTCGAAGGTCGAATCCACAAAAATACGATAGTTGTCTTTTTTGGATAATTCTTGTTGACGCTGTTTATGAGGAAATCTCCTTCTATTCCGGTGAAAATGTGCTAAGCTTTCGTCCGTCGAATAATGGACATCATCAGAGCATGATATCATCTTTACACGCATATTAAATTAACAAATCAAAAAACCCATCAGATCATCCCTAAAATGCTGTATATGTACTCTACATCTGAGCTATTTGGTGAGATATAAAGTGATTTGGTTAATCCCAGTCATATGTCATATGGCATGCAAGTGTGTCTGTGTTTGTATGTGTTCGCATGTGTGGGAAACCAGCATTGATGTCTTAGAGTAATTGGAACTAAAAAATAATGTCTGTGCTCGTTTATCACGGCTTGATGACCACCATCACCACACGCCAATCTGTATATAGTTTAACCATCACTTCGACTGCTCAAGGTCGGACACAAGTCTGGTTATGTTGATGA